GTTCCTGATCAACTAAAAGAGTCTGTTGAAAGAGTTGGGGTTCTTTGTGTACTTATGGGGTGTGTGTATATATGTAAAAAAAGGAGCTTCTTTCTTTAAAAAGAGTAAGGTGTAACAAAAATAGTTTAGCCGTACTTACACACATGCCAGCTACTGTTAGGTACTTTTAACCAAATTCACTTTTAAATTTTCACATTTAAAAATAATTGCTCTTTTTCCCTATTCTTTTGTATTTTTTTTTATACCACAGATGTCTCTATTCAGGTACTTAAGTAATTTGTTTTCTTATAAAAGATAGGTGGGAAGGAACTAGTACGATTAGGAAAAAAGTAAGAACTAAAGTTTTTGGAAGAAGATAAGGGAAAGGAAACCTAGTAAGATTAGGAAAAAGTAAGAACTAAAGTTGAAGAAGATAAGGAAGTTAACTGTGCAAGAAATAAAAAAAGTCTGGATTTGGCAATTCTTTTTTTTCTGCTTTGTACTTGGCTGTCTAGTTTTGGCTGATTTCCTTTATTTTTGTCTTACTTTCCGTATTTACAAAACAAGCTAATATTTGCCTAGTATGTCTTATAAAATTGATTGGAAAGATCAAATGAGATGAGATTTTTGGTAAAAGTACCTTTAAAATTGTGTTTTGTACATTTTTAAATACTAGGTATTTGTTAGAGTTGTTTATTTAGCATGTGCTTTTTAAAAATATTGTAATATTAAAGATTCAGTTTTAATTTTGAATTTAAAATTCAAAAAGTAAAAGTAAAGCAATACCTGTCTGAAGATCAGTTTTATAGTTTTTGACAGGTGTTTTTGAAAGCAGTTTCTAATGTGATTAGTAACCCAAAACTTCTCTTGTTTTGTATGTTTCTGAATGACATTTTTGCCTATTTCAGGTATTGAGCCATATTTGAAGTTTTCTTGGGTGACTTTTCTGGTTTCTTTTCTTCTTAGTCTGATCTGAAGTGCGTGCAGGATGCCAAAGGAGGTTCTTTCTACAGAGATCATTGCCCTGTGCTAGGTGAGTGAGCAGTTAGAGAAAATTTCTAAAAAATTGCTCGGAATTCATGAAATCAGTAAAATGTTTAAGTTGGACTTAAAAAATTAATTGCCATTAAGATTATTTAGAGAAATTCTTTAGTTTTATTTTGGTTTTAAAATATTTGTTCCTTTTTATGATTTATTTAGACTCACAGTTGTCTTGGGAATTAATTTGATGTTTATGTCATAATATATATTTGAAATGTTTATTTTTATTTATTTAGTTTTTTGTTTGTTTTTTTGAGACAGACTCTTGCTAGGTAGCCCAGGCTGGCCTCAAACTCAGATCCTCCTGACTCAGCCTCCCAGATACTGGGATTGCCTGTGCCAAGTGCCATTTATCTTTTAACCCTAAACTGTATCATTGAAAAAATTTGCGTAAGATTATATCAGTGTTGTAACTCATGCACTACTGAGAATAGGATTTGACAGTTTAGTTCTTATAAATGCTATAGAGTTTCTGTAAAATTGCTTTATTAAAATAACAATCCCAAGATCAAAGTAATATAGTAAATATAATTCCATGTATAATTAAAATTTTTTTAAAAAGGGGTAAGATAACTCAAACTACACTCATTAAAAAAAATGTTGGGGCTTTTTGTCAAAAAGTGCTGTTTCCTTCCAGAATATATTAATTTCTTTTTAAAAGGGAAAATGTAGGAACGTTTAAATGAACTCATCCATTTCTCTTATTTTCATAAACTTTCTTTGCTTTGTGTCTTGCCTTCATAAGAAAAATGTGGAATCAACATGTACATTTTGGATCCTTTGCTGTAGTGTTTTATAATCATGAACCCATTATCCCAAAACTAGATTTTAAAAATAATGTAGGGACACTCAATCCGTTTGTTAAAAAATAATGCTAAGCATTTCAGAGAAAAAAAAAAATCAGGGTTTTCTTTTATATTCTACCACTCATTATTGGCTCTGGTGCAGTGATACACAACAAATGATCCAGGCAGGAAAAGTGAATATTTTCAACACAAAGAACTACATGTTCGGACTTAGACTTGAATATTCCTTTGTAGATTCTTTTCCTACTCATTCATTATGAATCATCACATTACTAAAATTGTGTTTACCTGTATGGGTTTGTTGTGTTGGGAATTGAACTTAGGACCTCAAGTTTGTTAGACAAGTGCTGTACCACTGAGCCACATCCCCAACCCACTGGATTACAGGTTTTGAATCTGATGTTTGTTTTTCTTTCTGTATTTTAAAATTTTCAGCTCTATAGTCTCATATCTAGAGTGAATTCTTTTGAACACTTAAGGTGATACCTAAAACTAAAATGTCTAGATATTTTTGTTTAAAAATAATGCAGTTGCAGGGAGAGATTGGCTAATGGGTATAAGGCAACAGCTAGATAGGAGGAATAAGTTCTTGTGTTTTATAGCACTGTAGGGTGAATAGAGTGAACAGTAATTGATTGAATATTTCAGATAGCTAGAAGAGAGAATTTTGACCACTGGGAGTAAATCTTTGAGGTGATAGGTATGCTAATTACACAGATTTGATCACTGTACATTGTATGTGCGTATATATATCTCACATTGTATTCTATGAATGTGTACAATTATTATGGATCTATTTAAAATAAAAAAAATATTCTATGAAAAAAGAAGATTGAAAGGGAATACCATGATAACTGTAGGCCAACAAGTGTGGTAACTAGATGAAATGGACAGATTCTTAGAAAGTATCAAAACTGATTAAAGAAATTGAAACTTAGAATAATCCTATAATAAGTGAAGATGTTGAGTTAGTAATCACACTCATACAATTGCAGTTGCGTACTGTTGCTGACTTTCTTTTTTCTTTCTCCCTTTTGTTAATTGCTTCTGAAATTACAGGTGAGCAAAATGGCAACAGAAATCCTGGTGGATTGCAGATTGGTGACCTGGTAAATATAGATCTTGATCTAGAAATTGTACAGTCTTTGCAACATGGTCATGGAGGATGGACTGATGGAATGTTTGAGACTTTAACTACAACTGGAACTGTTTGTGGCATTGATGAAGATCATGATATTGTAGTACAGTACCCAAGTGGCAATAGGTTGGTGATATTGCTCAATTTTTGATAATGACATAGTGTATAGAGAAAAGAGCCTTAAAGAAGCCAAATAATGTGATATCATCAAAGACTACTAAGGCTCGTTTTCTTAGGTTGTAAATAAAAATCCAGTTATGTTGGTAAGGTAGAAAGGAACAAATAATAAGTGTGTGTGTGTTGTGTATATAGATTTATATAAGTAGACTTATATTATAAATTCTATATACTTTTTATTTTTCCTTCAGAGTAGAATCATTATAGTAGAATACATTAGGTCCAAGTATAGCTAAAAAGTTCTTGGTTCATATTAGACCATATTAGTCATTTGTGAATAACAACATTAAAACTCCTCTGGCTCCAAGCTCCTCTGGCCTATATTTCTAGGGCCATAGCTCCATCAGTATTTGACCACGAAACTGTAATAATCAAGACAGTTAGAAATATAGATTGATGGAATAGAGTCAAGAAATAATCCTTTTCATTAAGTTAATTAAAGTTCAGTGGAGAAAGAATAGTTCTTTCAACAAATGGTGCTGGGCCAAAGGGAAAAGAATATAATTGGACTCCTGTTATATACCATATACAAATCTTAGCACAATTGATCATAGGACTAAATGTAAGAAATAGCTATAACACTCTTAGAACAAACAGGTAAATGTTCTTGACCTTGGATTAGACAATGTTTTTCTAGATAAGACCCTAAAAGCAAAAGCAACCAAAGAAAAAATAGATTAATTGGACTTCATCAAATTTGAAAACTTTTGTGTTTCAAAGGAGACCATAAGAAAATTTAAAGACAACCTGTGGAATGGGAGAAAATGTTTCCAAGTTATGTGATTGTTAAGGGATTTGTATCTAGAAAATGTAAAGATCTCTTGAAGATTCAACAGTGAAAGACAACTAGAAACTGAGCCAATGATTTGAGTAATATGAATTCTGTGGGAATGTAGCTCTATCTAGAACACTCTTGAAAAGATACTTGATGTTATTAGGGAAGTACGAGTCAAAACCACAATGAGATACCCACTTCACACATTAGCATGTTATTAGGGAAGTATACAGATCAGAACCCCAGTGAGCTCACTGTGACTGAATCAAAAAGTGTAGGATCAGGCTAGAATCTAGAGGCTAGAATTAAAGAAAAAGTCAAGATAATAAAGTGTTGTGGAGGATGTGGACATAATGGAATTATTATACATGTTCCTGATGGCACTCTAAAATGGTGGAGCCACTTTGGAAAACAGTTTGTTAGTTCCTCAAAATGTTTATTGTAGTTAACATATGACCCAGCAGTTTCACTCTTGGTTATATATATATCCAAGAGAATTGGGAACGTGTATACACAGAAACCTGTACGTGAATGTTTGTAGAGACATTATTCATAAGAACCAAAAAGTAAAAACAACTCAAATGCCTTTTAGCTAATCAGTGGGTGAACAAAATATGATGGAGATATGCAATGGAATATTATTTGCCCATAAAATGGGATAGAGTACTGACACAGTGCAATATAGATGAATTTTGGAAGCATGCTAAGGGAAAGAATTCAGCCAGAAAAGGTCACATAGTATGTGATTTTATTTACATAAAATGTCCAAACTAAGCAAATCCAAAGAAACAAAATATATTATTGGTTATTTCGGGGTCAGGGAAAAGGGTGATCGTAGAGTGACTACTAATAGTTATGGAGTACCTTTATGAGTTGGCGAAAATGAAGTTGGGTAGTGGCGATGGTCGCACAACTCTGTTAATATACTAAAAACCACTAAAGTACCCACTTTAAGTAGGTGAATTGTACGGTATGTGAATTCTATCTCACTAAAGTTGTTTTCAAAAAAGAAAAAAACCTTAAGGACTCCCGGTTAGCATGTTCTCGTTTGTTATTTGGAAATGTTAATACAAATTAGTGTTATTACTTGCAGAATTATTTCTTGTTCAGAATTCTTTCTTGGGAGGTAGAATGTTAACAGTAAATATCACAGTTCTAGAAAGTAAGCTTTTTTTCTTTATTCAGCAGAATCTGTGAAGTACTTTTTCTGCATTAGGCCCTATGATTAATATGGTTATAAAGGCAGTTGAGATGTGGTTTCCTGCTTTGAAGGGGTTTCCCTTCAAAGCTAGAAATAACTGCAATAAAATGTTATAAGTAATGTGATAGATAAGTATTCAGAGTATCCTGAGAGCACAAAAGAAGAGAGGTTATTTTTAAATGGAGAGATAGAGAAAACTTGAGATAGAAAATTATACTTGTGAGTTTAGGAGATGAATTACATTCCACTAGACAGGGAAGCATACCAGGTAAAGGGAGTGAGTTGAGTCCATACTGTGTTTAGGCACTATAGTAAGTCTGGTAAATTTTGGGATATAATTTGGGAGCACTGTGGTTGATAAGACAGAAAATAAAATTTTACGTATCTGATTTTCTTAACTATACAGAGGCAGTGTCTCCTTGTTGTTGCCTTAGAAAAAAAAGTATGAGTCCAGGAACTTGTTTAGTTTAGTAAATGGATTTGTGTATTGTGTGACCACTCAGATTCTCTTAGATGTTAATAACTACCTGAATCAAGGACAAGAGGATAGAAGATGCCAATACTGTAGAAACTTACTTGACAAGGGAAGTTCAGTGTGGCCCTAGGGGAATTGTGTTACACATTGTGGCACATCTGTTTGGAACATTAAGTTGTTACTAAAATGATGGTTATGAAGATGATAGCTGCATGGAGAAATGCTATGTATAGTAGAAAAGTCAAATCCAAATTTGTTTTGATACAGTATTTACAATTATGAAAAATACCTATTTATCTATAAGATTGGCAGTGGTGTGGGAAATGGTGCACTCTTTTAGAGTAGCTTGGGTCTGACAGAATTGTAAATAAATATACACTATGATTAGGTAGTTATTTTAAGCATGGCTAATGAAATACTGACCCTATTAAAAAATTTTTTTTTTAGCACCTGCGTTTGAACTCAAGGCCTTGTGCTTGCTAGGCAATTGTTCTACCACTTGTGTCAGTCTTCCAGCCAATTTTTGCTTTAGTTATTTTTGGGATAGTGTCTTGTTTTTATGCCTGGACAGGCCTGAACCTCCATCCTCCTGTTTATACTTCCCACATACCTGGATCACAGGTGTGTGTCACTGCACCCAACTTTTCATTGGTTGAGATGGAATTCTGTGAACTTTGTACCCAGACTGGCCTTGAACCTTGATCCTTCCAATCTCTGCCTCCTCAGGGATGTTCTTTATAGTATTGTATATTCTTGTGAATATTTGGAAGTAGTTTAGAAAATATTCCACTGGAGAATGACTAAGTACACTAAAGTATGTCCATGCCATACTCTGTAGCTGTTAAGTTGAATTAAATAGATTTATATCTGACATTGAAAAGTAAGATACATTATCTGTGAAAAAAGAAGTCACAGAATAATGTGTGTGTGTGTGTGTGTGTGTGTAAAATGAACCCTTTTTATAGAAAAGAAAGCAATTCATTAGCTTATAAATATCACTCAGCATATTGACAGAAGATCCATAAGGATGCTAGTAGAGTATTAAAATGGTTTTTTACATAATGGGGACCTAGTTGTGTTTGTGTGCTATAGAGCTATTACTTTCACTTTTCATATTTCTGAAATGTTTGGGTTTTTCAACAATGGTCAATGTATTACTGTTTTTTTTTTTTTTTAATTTTGTTTTGTTTTTTGTCTGTTGGTACGGAGTTTGAACTCAGGGCCTTGTGTTCGCTATGCAGGTGCTCTTATCACTTGTGCCACTCTACCGCCCCATGTATTATTGTTTTAACAGTTGTAAAAACATACAGAAGAGAATCTAGATGAAAGTATTAAAATGTTAATACTGTATTAGGACAATACAAACACAGATGACTCATTTCCCAAATTTGTATGATAAAATTATAAAATTGGAACCAGCTGTGGTGATTTACACTTATAATCCCAGCACTCAGGAGGCTGAGGCAGGAGGATCATGGGTTTGAGTCCAGCCTGGGCTACTTAGCAAGTTCCAAAACAGCTTGGGCTACCTAGTGAGATCCTATCTTAAAAAAAGAAAAAATTAGAATAAAAAATACAAAAAAGAAATACAAATTATTCAGAATGTAACTGCCAAGGATTACTTTACTTATTTGAGGTGTTGCAAAGTTTTTCTTCTGTAGTGTTTAAGAATGTATTAACATTAAGTAAACTTACCAGTTTTGTGTTTTGGCTTTCCTTTTGTTAGGTGGACCTTCAATCCTGCTGTTCTCACTAAAGCGAACATTGTCCGAAGTGGGGATACTGTGCAGGGTGCAGAAGGAGGCACTTCACAGTTTCAAGTGGGTGATCTTGTGCAAGTTTGTTATGATCTGGAAAGAATTAAACTTCTACAAAGAGGACATGGCGAATGGGCCGAAGCGATGCTTCCAGTAAGTAGATAAAATAGGGTAATTAGGTTATGCTTGCATAGCTTTTTTAATTTTAGAAATCAAATTAGCATAAACCTTCCTAGATTGTACTTTCCACTGGCAGCTGGACATGCTCGTGCCTTTTGTTTTCTTATTTATTCCAGTCAAATTAGCTTGTGAAGGAATTTGGTTAATATTGATGGCACTGTTAGTAGAGAATGTGTTGTCATGTGGGGGCAGCAGAGGTCTTCCTGGCACGAGATGGGAGCATGCTCATCCAGAGTTGTTGGTCCACTGCAGTTTTCATGCTTCAGAGACCCATTTCTGTAAAACTTGAGTGTGTGTAAGAGAAGCTGAAAATGATTTTCTGAGGGTGGCTTTGCTCCCAAAGAGTACAGTTTAATTTTTTATTTTTTCATTCAATAACTTTTCCATCAAATGTTCAGCAACAGCAAACAAACTTGTTTATTCTGCTCTGCCTTTATCTATCCTACTCTTTACTCATGTAATCTCTCTTTCTGTCCTCTGTCTCTTCCTATACTACTTCCCTATTGCCTCCTCTCCTGTCCCCATCCTCTTCCACCTTGCTCTGCCCTCCAGTTCAGTGTCCACTTTGCCCCCTCCCCTCTATAGTCTCATCCAGTTCCAATTCCTATTCTGCTTGTTACCCCATTCCCAGCTTGTTCATGTTCCAGTCCTGTCCCATTGTACTTCCTGTCCATCCCATTTAGTATGCTGTCACTCTCGCACTGTGCTGTCCAGTTCTTCTTTTCTGGATAGTGCCTTCTTTTTTCTTTCCTATCCACGTAGCCTTCCTAGTCTAACTAGCCTTCACCTATCTTGTCCAGTCTCTTGTTCCTGCTCTTCCTGTTGTGTTGTCCTCCATCAGTTCGTCCATCTTTCCTGCTTCACTGCCTCAAGGTATTGTAGCACATAGAATGTACCTATAGACTGCAGGGGTACCATAGTAAACAAAACAGAAAAAAAGTCTCTTGTTACATTGCTTTCACTCAGAGACGTTTCAGTTTGCAGCTGCTGTACACACACATACCTGTATACATACATACAGGTACAAACTTTTTCTTAACAATGTTACAAGTAGTTGTTGGTATGGCATCCTAAATTTTAAAGGTAAAGAAGTCAGAGCTAAGATTCTAAACTGAAACTTTGAACCCTGATCTGTCTTACTTCAAAACCTAAGTACTCTTTCTGCCATATTAAATTGTTATGTAAACAAAATCTCTAGAAAATTCCTAGGAGGGAATTCTGAGATTCCAGTAGTGGTGATGTATATTTTGAATCCTTTTGAATCCTCTTGATAGAAATAGGCAATTATAGTGTTGCAGGAAGGCTCAGACAGAGACTGAGAGGGCACCAAAGCTTTTGGGAAGCAAGTTTATTAAGCAAGCTGGCAGCGACTCACTGGACTCTAGTCCAAAGGCTGAGAACAAAGGAGGCTTTCCTTATATACCATTTAGAGCAGTTTACAGAAATGAGGAGGGGGTAACAGCTTGTCCCATATATAATCACATGTTATTTCATTGACTGCTTTAACATCTGGGGCGAGGTGACCCTTCTCTGGTCTCCAGGTAACATATCCCAACTCTGGTTTTTCTTTGTTTCACTGTGGCTCTCCTCTCTTCCTCTTTCCTGCCTTCTTCTCCTCTTTGATTCCCAGACCCACTTCTGGGTCAAAGAGCAGCATCTTGATCTAGGGCTTATATTTTTATAGTGCCATTACATGAGCAGCTGTCTCTCTCTCTCTTTTTTTTTTTTTTTTTTGAAATAGTGGGTTTTATTACAGTCCTGAAAGACCGAAGTACCAAGGAGATTTTGCAGGGTACTATCAGGCATGGTCCTAAGACAAGGAACATTGTCCTTACTAAGGTCTTGAACCCACCTAGGGTTCAACTAGCCCCTGAACAGGTCATTGGGACCCTATCCTTTTCAGGTCTGTACAAGGATATGGGCAAGTTTTTTTTTTTTAATCTTGTCAATCTCTTTAATTACCTTTTTTTTTTTTTATCATTAATCTGTAAGCAGCAGTTACTCAGACTGAGATTATTCCAGGCTATTATAAACTTAGGGAAGTTAGACAGCAGGTGAGTTTGGGGCTCTTGTGTGATTGGGAGCTCCCCACCACTGAGTCTCCTGTGAAGCATCATTGTGAAACTTTTCTCCTAATCAGATCAAGTCCCCTTCCGGGGTGGAGAATTTTGGCCTTTAAAGTGGTCTTGAGGGTTTAGCTCTTTGGCCTCCCATGGCCATTGGGCTTCCATATTTGTTTCTCCATAAATATAATGCAAAGTTACCTTCAGAGTTTGTTCTATGGACTCAGCTAGTGAGAGGAACAGGTTTTTGGTTGTAACTGAGATAGGAAACTCACTTTGTATCTCCTTGTAAAAGGAGTGAAAGACCTGGTATGAGGAGCTCTCATGAGTGATCATGGTGAGTTGAAAATGCAGCAAAGTACTGGGGTCTGTTCTCTGTCCATTGATTAAAATGCCAAACCTTTCCCCAACTTTTTACCCTGTTTCATTGAGGTTGAAAATAGAGAAATTTACAGGGTTACAGACACTAAGAGTGCAGTCGGGGTTTGCTTCCCCCTTTGTAAAAGAGCGGCAGTTCCATGTGAGGTGTGGACCTCCCTTTAAAGCCAAGTTGTCTACCTTTCTCAACCCCAATAAGGGCAGTAGAGTTGTTCATACTGTGCACAACTGGATGTCTCATTGTCATCGTTTGGGCATATATACTTCTCATTTAACCTATAGTTCCTTTTCCAGGCTAACCCCCCACAGTTTTTAGCCCAGTGTTTTTTAGCTATTGTGGCACACACATCAAAGTATATGGACACAGATTTATTGAGGTCATTAACCTGGGTGTGATTAATGAGCTTCCCAGTGCTGGTGAAGCTTCGGACCTCTAGCTATTGCTCTCAAGGGGAATAGATGGGGTTAAAACAGATACACTGACCATCATGAAAGCACACTGAGTAGGTGATATGCTTATGGGTGCATGACCCAACAATGGTGCCTGCACAGGAATGGTAAGTGTGGAAAACCAGAGTTTTGGTAACAGTACTGCCCACTCAGGTAGTGCACATACATGAATCACAGTCCAAAGCCTGGGGGTCCCCAGGTAGAGAACTGACCGAAATTAGCAAGAATACATGGAACGGACTCATCTTCAAAGGTAAGATGGGCAACTTCTCAAGCTTCTGCTGTGTGTAGACTAGTCAGCTTCCAGAGGGACTACAGCAGGGCTGACGTCTCATCATCTGTGGTGTCCTGTTGTCTCCTGGGAAGTAGGGTCCTGCTGGGGAAGGGTGCTGGTGTTTTGAAGGGTGATCTTGTATGATGAGGCTGGGTCGGGGATGCATTCCTGTTCGAGGGAAGCTGGCTTCACTCGGCTGTGGGGGATCCAGGGAATGATCTCTGCTTCTTTAACTGCATGGGGATGGACAAAACAACAAACCTCCAGTGGGGCTTTAATGGTTGAACATTCCATTCCTTTACCCAGACAGCATCCCTGGTTTATAAGGGTGCGTGGGAGTTGTCAGGCTAATGGGGATTCTCTCTCTTACCTGTTTATCCAGTTACTGATTTTCAAGAGAGTCAACCCAAGGGCCTTTATCTGCTGTCTCAGACTGAGATCATCACCTGTTTCCTTAAGGTCCCCTCTTAGGCCCTTGACTAAAGGGGGTAGCTCAAAAAGAATTTTAAAAGGGGAGAGACCCGTCCATTTGGTGGGGCTTGACCTAATCTTGAGTAAGGCTGTGGGCGCTAATTGATCCCATTGTAGATGGGTCTTTTGGCATAGTTTTTTTTTTTTTTTTAATTGCAGTTTTAGAGTCCTATTTATACATTTTACTTTCCCTGAACTCTGGGGGCAGTAGGTCATGTGTAGTTATTTTAGTCATGTGTAGTTATTTAGTCATCAACTGTACCACCTCAACCACAAAGGTTGGCCCATTGTTTGACCCAATAGATGCAGGCATTCTGAATTGAAGGATGATTGTCCTTAACAGACCTGGCCACTTCTCAAGCTTTCTCAGTTCGAATGGGGAAGGCTTTCATCTGTCCTGAGAAGGTGCAAACAACAACAAATATGTACATCTTGGCCCTTGTTGAGGATTGTTTCTGGCACACAAACTGCACTTCTCACATATTGTCCTACTTACTTGGAGAGCTTGGGGACAAGCTGTTCCCCGCTGAGTGAGCTCCTTCAGGAACTGCTTGACAAATGTGGGAGCTAGTGACTCAGTAAACTTCCACCATCTGTCTGTTAGAAAATTTTCTCCTTCAGTCCCAAACTAAGCCTGTTTTTGTGAAGTCTACTGTGGGGTCCCATTCAGATTAGGGGCACCCGAACAAGGCAGCTGCTAGTGAGGCTGGGGTTTGTCATCCTGTGAGGGCTGCTCGCTTAGTTTCCTTAGTCTTTTGGTTTGCCCAAACAGCTGTTGTCTCCCACTTCTGGTGCTTTTGGCAGTGCATGACCACTGTTCGCTTAGGGGCCCCTATAGCTTTTAGTAATTTTAGAATTTTTTGTCCATATTTAATACTTTTTCTCCCAAGTAGGAGGTCCCAACTGGCATTGATTGTGTTTCAGTGACAGCATCCAGAATCACTACTATGTATCTGGCAAAATGCATGCCGTCCTGGACAAAGCTGCTGCCATCTGTGAAATACTCAATGTCCGGACGACTAATGGGCTGGTTGGTCAAGTCTGGCCAGCTGGAGAACACCTCATCCATAACTCTAAACAGTTATGCTCCGGTGGGCCTGAATAATCATGGGGCTGGGTTTAGAGTCTTAACAACCTTTAGCCGGACATGCGGGTTTTCGCATATCATGCTTTGATATCTGACCATTTGGGAGTTTGTTAACCAGTAATTTCCTTTATATTCTATGAGAATCAAAACAGTGGGGAACTTGGACTGTGAGTTCTTGTCCCAAAGTAAGTTTGCTTTAGCCACCAAGATGGCAGTGGTTGCCAGGGCACACAGGCAGGGCAGCCAGCTTTGGGAAACTGCATCATGTTGCTTTGATAAATAGGCCACTAGGTGGTGGTGGCAGGAACCTAGCAGCTGGGTCAAGACTCTTACAGCTGTCACCAGTCTTTCATGTACATATAGGAAGAATGGCTTCATCACATCTGACAAACCAAGGGCAGGGTTGTTTGTGAGCTCCCTCTTAATTTCTTTAAAGGCCTTTTTTCTTTCTTTTTTATTTTTTTTTTCTCCTTTCCCCATACCATGGGTTCCTGTTCTGTCCCATTTGTGACTTCATAAAGAGTTTTTGCCAAGAGAGTAATTGGGGATCCAGATCCAGCAAAAACCTGAAGCTCCTAGGAATTCTGTAATCTGTACAGTGTTACATAAGGGGGTGGGAACTCCTTGGGAATCCCTCACTAATATGGGTGGATTTCTCTGGCTTTTTACATTTTTCCCTGCACTTGGAAGCTGCTGCCGCCCTGGCTACTATAAGCCTATATGCTTTTTCTAGGTGGAGCTTTAGCCATGTGGACTGACTGTGGACTGTATCCTGCCAGAAGTCAATATAAGGAGTCATGTTCCCCTACAGCCACTTCAAAAACTCTGTTGATTATGACCTATCTAATGACCCCTCTGAGAGCCTTCCTACACCAAAAGCAGACCAGTCTGTTTCACAGAAGGTCCTAAGCTTGCCAGGAGTCAGTTTTTAGTTTCATTTACAGGCTTGAAGCACTAGTATTTTAAATTCAAACGTTAATAGAGAGGGTAAGGGTGACACATGAATGCCTAATTCCTGTATTTCACATATTAGGGAGCTAATAGACATATACTCAAATGTGTATTTTTAAAGGGAGAAATAAGGAGATTATATATGTGTGCATATAAACGTATACATATGTGTTTATATAATGGTATTAGTGTAAACATAACTATTAGGACAATAGAAAGTTTGCATTAAGCAATGAAAGGATAAAGCTTGAAGTTAAAAAATGTTCCCTGTATGAACAGGGAGTAGGGTATAGGGGACAAAGGTTAGAAAGGGACATCTTTGAGTGTTTTATAAGTTTGATTTGAAATTACACACATTTTGTGCAATAGTAAAATAATACTAAAATTTTAAAAAGAAGACACCTAAAAGTGAAAAATAAAATAAAGCAAATTAAATGTATTCCTTGTTGGCACAACCATATAGAGAGAAAAATTCCAAGTGAACTTTTTTATTATTGGCACATATAATTATACTGAGTAATGAGTTTCATTGTGATGGTTTCATATATGTATGTAACAAGTTCTGATCATGTCCCCCTCTCTCATTATTCTTCCTTGCCCTGTAATTTGTCTTTATCCTTATAGGAATAATGTACCCTAAAGAGCTGCACAAAAAAGAAATTCTTAATTTTCAGAAATGTCATTGTGCATGTTAGGGTTGGTACTGTTGTTCTGAGATCAGTGTAAGTGGCAGAAAAACAAATGAGTACTTCTATTTATTTTTTTGGCAGTATGTAATTTGAAGTCAGGGCCTCATGTTTGCTAGGCAGGCACTGTTACCAGTTGAACCATGCCTTCAGCACTTTTGTTTTTCTTTGCCTTTGACTTATATCTTGGATAAGGGCTCACATTTTTGCCTGCCATGTACCTGGGATTACAGGAATGAACCATCATTCCTAGCTTATCTGTTGAGATGGGACCTACCCAACTTTTTGTTCATGCTGATCTCCCAGAGTAGCTAAGATTGCAGACATGAGCCACCATGCCCGGCCCCTGCAAATGAATACTTATGGGATAATTCTAATTCTGTTATCTCATTGACTTTGAGAACCAGAATTAACAGTGAGAAATGGCACTATCTTCAGATACCTTATTGTTAGAGGTACATGAAATAATACAGGAGTGGAGAATGGGTAGGGTAGATAAAATTAAGAGTCATAAGCCAATAACTGTGTGTGATTGATTGCTGGGTCCATGAGAATGCAGTATACAATTGAATACTTTTGTTGGAATTTCCTATGATAAAACATTAAAGCGGAAAAACAAAAACATTAAAATATTTTACATAGTGTTTTAATAAAGTATGTGTATATGTGCATATATATCTGGCAGAAAGTTTAGACTCTTATCCAGAAATTGAAGGAATAGTTTCAGAAAGTTGGAAACATCAATGCCAGTCTCTTTTCTGTGCTAGGAAATAGTCAAATGTCACTATTTCCACCTGTCTTCAAGTGTTGTGATTTGCTGCTCTATTGTGCCTAAGACAATGAGTTTTGGACCTGAGTTTGAAATGAGGTTGTAATAGTTCCTGTTTCAGTAGTATATGTATTAGGTAAGTCAAGTTCTTAGAATAGTATCTGCCACTATTTTTTTTTGTGGGACTGGGGTTTGAACTCAGGACCTCATACTTTCCAGACAAGCACTCTTACCACTGGGCCATGCCCTTAGCCCCTTTTGCTTTTGTTTCTTCCTCAGAGGTCTCTTTTTTTGCCCAGGCTGGCGTTGACTACAATTATCCTATCTTTGTCTTCTGTGTTGCTGGAATTACAGGTGTACACTATTATGCCTGGCTTATGCATGTCATTTCTACACTGACTTCTATTTTGGAATCAAGTGTGATTCAAAAAACAATTTAAACTGAGAGCCTTTTTGTGATTAAGTAGTTTTTGTTTTTAGAAATAAGATTTCCCTTTATAGGCCATATTGGTAGATTTTAGACTTGCTTTGAGTTGCAAGTTCTCAAGATATATCTTACGGGTTCAATAAGGAGGGTCGAGACTCAAAACAAATTTTCATGAGCATTTATTAGTAAGATAAGCTTTATCATGATTTATCTTTTATATTCTTGTGGAAGTATACTATTAAAATGTCTTTAAAAGTTACTCTTTTTAAATTGAGAACAAGTAAAACTGATAATTTAAAATATAAGAACTGGTGATTTTATGATTATATAATTTATACTTGGAAACATGAATCTAATTTTTCTTTAAGACTTTAGGTAAAGTTGGCCGAGTGCAACAGATTTATTCAGACAGTGATTTAAAGGTGGAAGTTTGCGGAACATCTTGGACGTATAATCCAGCGGCAGTTTCCAAGGTGGCGTCTGCAGGATCAGCCATTAGCAATGCATCTGGTGGTATGTTTGTATTGCGTGTCTTTAAAGATAATGTGCTTTACCTGATTCCTCTGTTCTCATGCACATGTCATCTCCTATGTGTATGTTGCTTTCTCCCACGTTACGTTGGCTTGCTTGACTATTAACCACCTTGTAAACGTTCACTAATAGTTTTTTTTCTGTCTCTCTGTCTCTTTTTTTGGGGAGTGGTATGGTACTGGGGTTTGATCTCAGGGCTGGGCAGGCACTCTACGGCTTGAGCCACTCTACCAGCCCTTTTTTTGTGTTGTTTTTAAATAGGGTCTCTTTTTTTGCCATCGTTGGTCCCGAGGTGTGGTCTTTCTCATCTCTCCCTCCCAAGTAGCTAGGATTACAGGCATGAACCTGGCTTTTTTCTTTTATTATGGGATGAATAACTTTCATTCTGGTTGAGGAACCCCCTGGAAATGTTCCATTAATATGTGCTTTTCCTTGGGTATATGAGCAGCCTTCTCTATACTCAATTTGAGATTCCTGAAACTTAACATACTGTTCTGTAGTCAGACCTTTCATTTTCTGCCAAAGACCCATCACTTTCTTAGGCTGCTTTATTTTTTATTCCCATCATTATTGCTAGCAGATGTCTTTTTTCTGTATATCTTTATATATCAGCCATATTTTTTCTCTTACCTAATAAGAGTTATGATACATGCCATACCAAGTTGAAAACCATGTTAAGATGTGAACTTGCTGGGTGCCTGCCCCAATAGACTTGTTCCCAAATTCTTTCCTTCCTGTGACCCAGCTTTATACAGACTCAGTTCATTGCACAACATAAGCTACTGTATACATATTGTTGTCATCCAGGAATAAAGGTAGAACCATACTGTAAATGGAAAGATACTAAAGAAAAGCATTAGATTTATTTTTGTACTACCTTCTACTTTCTGTGTTGCCTATTCTTTCAGAAGAGTAATTTGCTAGTGCACTTAAAGTTTAAATGAAGTAATGTTTTTTTTACTTTGAGCCTAGATGGCATCACAATAGGTTGAACCCATGTAAAAAACAAGAATGAAGGATAATTAATATCCTAATCTCAAATAATGTGGTCTTGGCTTCTTTGGTGATTTGTCTCTAATTTGTAATTTCTCTGCTTTTCAGTAAATAGTCCAATAATAAAAGAGTAGATCTTGGTACTTCTATTTTGATTGATAAAATTGAGAAAAAAAAATCTTATAAAAGGGCTAAATATATAGTACTTACTTTTCTCAAAAATAGTCGATTGGAACTTAACAAAGTATATTATTGCCATTTAGATCTTCATCATTTTCAACTGAAAATTGATTTGCCCCTAACGCCTGTCCCCAGACACTACAGATACTGCATTATTTTTGAATCATAACCATCGATATCGTAAGGTCTGTAGTACTGACTTCTGAGAGTCTCTGGTGTGCTTAAAACCTAAAGGAAGTTTATATCATCCCAGTGTGGTCATTCATGATATCTTTGGTATGACTTCTAAATCTTGAATTATTTTTAATATGTAACTACTTTTCCCACAATTATAACTTAAAATACATGAATTGGAGAAAATTTAGAACACTTATGGGCTCAAATTTCATGCAACTTGCTATAGTAGTGATTATAACTTTCCTGGGTAAGTATCTGCAGCACAGTACAAATATAACATTGGCGAAAGAAATAATTAGGTAGAAAAAGATTATAGTAGTTAAAATTTGAGACCCTCCTATATTAGCAGCTTATGTTGATGCTTTGCAGAAAGACTCTCACAACTCCTGAAGAAATTATTTGAAACTCAAGAATCTGGTGACCTCAATGAAGAATTAGTTAAGGCTGCTGCCAATGGAGATGTTGCTAAAGTGGAAGATTTGCTAAAAAGGCCAGATGTGGACGTGAGCATTTTGAAAATTATTTTGAAGCATGTAAACAATAGAATAGCATAATTAACTTTATACTCAGCAGTTGCTAAGATTGTGCCACATGTGTTTCATCTGTTCCTTCTTTCTTGTTTTTCTGAGGTACTTTAAAGCAGATACCAGCCATTATCCTTCAGTGTATATTTAAAAAAAACTGACATTTTCTTATTTAACATTATCGCCTTTTTATAGTATTGTGTATTTCATATATTTTCAGTATTTTATGACTGACAAAACTTACATTTAGGTTTTTAAGTGGTTCATGTTCTTTTGGGAAATTGAGAATATCTTTCCCATGTAAATGTCATTGTATGAATCCTTTAAATGATTTTAGTAAATTTTATGAGCAATTTTTAAACTTTTTAAAACATTTAGGCTTTTTGCCCTCCACTCCTATGAAAGTTGGCCATTTCACAATTTATAATGTGTGTGTTGTCACATGTTTTGTAACTCCTCATAGCTTATGCTGTACACTGTATTATAAGCCCTTTTTTTTTTTTTGGCCAGACCTTTTATGTATGTTTGTTTTTCAGTATGCTGAAGTTGTATCTATAATTTTAAGATGTCAATGTCTCATTCTTCCTGTAAGCTCATATGACATTTTAGCTTTATCAGGGTGATTATCAATTGCAGCAACCCAACACAGGAATTTCTGGATTGGTTCAGTCACAAATAATTTGTCTCTGATACTGAAATACTTTTTTTTTTTTTTGGCAGTGGTAGGGATCAAATCCAGGGCCTTGCACATACTTGGCAAGTGGTTTACCACTGAATGCACATCCCTAGCCCTGGTTTTTTTTTTTTTTTGAGACAGGATCTTGCTATGTAGCTCAAGCTAGCTTTGAACTCGCTATGTTCCTCTGACTAGCCTTGAACTTGTGATCTTCCTGCCTTAACCTCTTAAGTGCTAGGATTGCAGGTGTGCACCCCCATGCCTGACTTCAAATGTTTTTTGTGTTTGAAAGATAGTCAGACTTTCTTTGTATTCAGTTTCTTCAGTTAAGCAGATTTAAATTTCATTGCATTTAATCTTGTTTTTGCATTTAATTGCTAGTTTATTTAAAGGTTTAAAATTTCCTTTTTTTTTTTTTTTTTTGCCTGACCCCTAGTTTTAATTTTTTGAAGAACCCCTGTACTGTTTTCCACTGGCTGTACTAATTTACATTCCCACAATGTATAAGGGTTACTTTTGTTCCACATCCTCTCCAGTACTTTTGGTTTTTTTTTGGTGCTGAGACTTGAACCCAGAACCACGCATATGCTAGGCACTCTGCCCCTGAGCTATGTCTCCACTCTAGGACTTGTTATCTTTAGTCTTTTTGGTAATAGCTGTTCTTACTAGGGTGAGGTCATCTCGTTGTGGTTTTGATTTGCGTTTGCCTGATGATTAGTGGTGATGTGCATTTTTTCATTTACCTCTTGGCCATTTGTATGAGTTATTTAGAAACATTTTTTAAGTCTATTGTCCATTTTTTTTTTTTTTGTGGTACTGGGGTTTGAACTCAGAGCCTCACACTTGCTAACCAAGCGCTGTACCACTTGAGCCACTCCACCAGTTCTTTTTTATCTTGGGTATTTTAAGATAGGGTCTCTCAAACTGTTTGCCCAGGTTGGATTCAAACTATGGTCCTCCTGATCTCTGCCTCCTGAGTAGTTAGGATTACAGCAGGGAGCCACCAGCGCCTAGCCATTTTTAAATTTTTTGCCATTTAGTTTTTGGACTTTATATGTTCTGGACATTAACCCCTTCTCAGATGTATGCAAATATTTCCCCCCATTCTGGAGGTTCTTTTATTTCTGTTGATTGTTTCATTGCTGTGCAGAAGCTTTTTAGTTTGATGTAATTCCATTTATCTCTTTTTGCTTTCATTTCCTCTGCTTTTGGGGTCTTGTTTAAAAACCTTGTCCATTCCAAAGTCCTGAGCTGTTTCCTATATGTTTTTCCTAATAGTTTCATAATTTTTTGTCTTAAATTTAAGTCTTTAATCAATTTTGAGTTGATTTTTATAACTGATAAGAAACATAGGGTCTAGTCTCATTCTTTTACATGTGTTGATCCAGTTATTCCAGCCCTGTTTGAAAAGACTGTCCTTTTTCCAGTGTGCATTCTTAGCTCCTTAGTTCAGCATCAATTGGGTGTAGATGTAGGAGTTTACTTCTAGGCTCTCTCTCCTGTTCCATTGGCCTTTGTGTCTGTTTTTGTGTCAATACCTTGCTGTTTTAATTTTTGTAGCTTTATAGCGTATTTTGAAGTCAAGTAGTATAATGCCTCCTGCTTTGTTCTTTTTGTTCAAAGATGGCTCTGCTTATTTCGGTTTTTTTTTTTTTTTTGGGAGGGG